TGAGACCAGCATCTCATTCCATTCAATATATTCTTTGGATTTTTTTTTTTAAACACTAGTCATTATTTTAGGTATGTTCCCAACTGCTCCTTTACATTTTTTGAAAATGAAAAGGAAAACAAGAAAAAAAAAATCACACATGTAATGCACAAATTACAGAGAAGATGAAAATAGGAATGAAAACCAAGCACATCTGTAATTAAACAAGTTTCAAAATTTGCTTAGAAGTTTATGAAACAGTTCTGAAATGTCACATTTCAGAAATATTTACTTTCCACTAACTGCGTTGTTAGTTTAGAACAGATCCTTAATGTAGGTTCTAAAGGGCTCTAAGACACCTACTTCCCATTTGTCAAGTAGGAAGCTTCTTGAAAAAAAGTGAGGTTTAAGTCTTCAGTTCTGCAGTGTTCTCAGAACAAATGGACCTTTGAAAGATAAATAATTTGGGGGAAAACAAAACAAACAAACAAACAAAACCCCAAAACCAAACTATCAGGACATTACTGGCTTCTTGACCTGCATACAGAAAAATTTAAGAAAATGCCTATTGGTTGCAGTTCGCTACTCAGAACCTAAATAGTAGAGAAAAGTACCAGAGTGGTGTGAAAATAATAACCAGAAGTTATCAATGAGAGGGCAGTTGACCTAAATCACTGCTTCAAAGTTGGGGCAGGTGGGGAAGAGTTGTAAGAATGTCCTTCTCCACCTCACATGTATTTACAGCCTGGAAATTTCTAATGCCTGGGAGAGGAGTACAGTACCAGAGCCCCACTCCTCCTTTCTTTGCCAGATGCAAGAGAAGAATAACAGAGCTGCTTGTCATACCACTTACAAGGAAAAGGAGAGAGGATTTCTCCTTTGCCAGGAAAAAACTAAGGGTACTGCAATTCATCAGACATCCAACCAAAAGCTGACTTGAAAAGTTCACTGGGATCCAAGTTATTAACCATTCCTGCTCCTTAACAATGCAATAAGGAAAAATTATGGTCTGTACATAAACAGTCTTATTGCTTTGGGAAACTGTTTTAAAATAAGTAGTGTTTATTGTAAGAAAACTTCCCAAATACCCATGAGTTTTGAAATAGAAAGCAGGCTGTGCACTTTGGAACACTCTGACCTTTCACCTCTGGAAAGCCAGATTCAGTACATGTTGTTCCACATGTGCAAATGATTTTCAGGCTCCATCCTAGGCTGTTACTGTGTCAACTTCCCAAAGAGTGGCCTAATCCAATATTTTATTATGTTACAGATTAGTCTATAACATTTTATTATGTCATAGACTAAGTTCTGAAATAAGAGAGGAGGTTTATGGCTTAAAATACAGACACTGAAGAGGGTTTGCTTATTTGTTTGTTTGTTTCTTCCTGTACCAGGGTTTATTCTAGTTCTGCAGCCTGGACCAGAGCACTCCATAAGTTTACACAAGGATAAATTGGTTTAAAATATTTGCTCCTTACAACTTTTATTTCAACTTTTGGTCTGCCAAATTGTCAGAAAAACAACATTTCCTTCCATCAAGGCAAAGCAATACTGGGAGAGAAAATAGGAAATTGACATCCAAAAATATTCTGATGTGAGTTAGGAAGAATGCCTTTTGCTAGCAACATGGAAAACGACGTCATGTCATGGGAACAGGGGTTTAATTGTCCAAAGATAATGAGGTGGCATCATATGCAATGATGGATTTGTGCACCGTGCTACTATTGCAATGCCTAATTTTGACCCTGCTCCCAAATCTCAAAAAGTTGAGTGATATAAAGATATCTGACACAGCTTCCCTCCCTGCCTCAAGTTTTCAGGTGAGGAGGGAGGGTGGAAAACTGGTTGTACTCTTTCATATTGCACTGGATAGAAAGATAATATTTGGCACAGAAGTCAAACGAAATATCAACCTAGAGAGCAAAAGGCTACTTCAAACGTTTGGGTAGTCATACTGCTAACCAAATGACTACATTATGATTCTGAGGAAGCTACTTTATACATACATTCATACCACGGCTGTTAAATTCAGAGGATGTATATTGCAGGTAAAAAAGTTGTAACACCAATGATCCTATAGTGCAACAGCAAAAAAAACAAACAAACAAACAAAAACCAACAAAAAACACAAACAAACAAAAAAAAACACAGAAAAACCTTGTTTTCTTATATGGAAGCTTCAATGACAAACACATACAAAAAAAAAAGTCACACTGCTACATATTTACAAAAAAATCTATTTTCATACCTACAGCTATTATGGAAAAAAATGTTATGCCCTAAAACCAGGCAAAAGAAAATAGCCTTTATTTTAGTGAAAGGAATATACTTTTAAGTGGATAAAAGACTCTGGCTTCAATCCAGCTCAGCTGATCATTTTGATACAGTATGAAAGAACAGAAGTGCTCTAGGGAGATAAACCAAAAAAAAAAAAAAAAAAAAA